TAGACAGAGATGACTCAGGGGAAGACCAGGAGTTGACACTGTGACATGTCACCTTTGAAGCGCCTGACAAGCAAGCTGACAGATCAAGTAGCGGCTGGATACATGAGAACTGCAGCTGAGGAGAGTGACCTGGACTGTGTGCTCACCAGTCTGAGGCCTAGGGCACCCCTACTCAGCTGCCCAGAGACCAGTGAGATGCAGGAGAAATGACCAGCGAGACAGAGGGGAAACCAAAAGCGCTTCTTAAGTGTCCTGGAGGCCAGGTGGGGACTTAAGGAAGATGGGGTGCTCAACCTGTCCGATGCTACCGACAGATCAGGTAAGGTGAGGACCGAGAGCCAGCCACGGCACTCAGCAAACATGGCGGGAAGGACCCTGACAAGTGAACTTAACAGAGACCAGAGGGTGGCCACTTAGAGAACACTCTTACCTAGAGTTTTGTTGTAAAGGGAACAAGGAAATACAGCAGCTGCTGGCAAGGAAAAGTCAGGGTAAAAGTATTTACGATGAGAAAAACATCATGTCTGAAGGACCGCAGGCGCATATGCATATAAAGCCCTAAAAAGTCCTAGACACTCAACCAATGTTAATTCCTTCCTTCACTCTTCCTTCACACCAATCACTTTCTATTATCTTTGCTGATGTGTATCTGATCTTTGTAACTCCCTGCAAACAACTTTTACTTGGAAGGCCCTTTTTTCCCTTGACTGTCAAACTCTTCCTAATCTTTTTTTTTTTTTTGAGTTTTATTGGGGAATGGGGGGAGGGGAACAGCACTGGGGAATTGGGGGAAGAGGAACAGACAAGTTGCTGTTGCTTCACTGGCCCAAGTTGGCACTATCATTGTGCTCTTCCCAGGTGAGGCAGATCAGTCGCCAGCTTCTGGACGGCCGCTCACAGCGGCTGTTGGCTACACACAGTAGCCCATGGCAACCCACTGCAGCAGGGGCTGCAGCCTACGCTGTCGACGGCGACTCACGGCAGCCCAGCTCCAGGTTGAGCTGTTGTTCAGCATCTTAGCTGTAGAGGGCAGTGTCACTGGCCCTCATATGTGGGATCCAAACCGGGGCCCTCTGGCGTCCCAAGCCAGCTCTTAACCAACGCGCCACTCTGCCAGCCCCTCTTCCTAATCTTTAAAGGCTCAAATACCCTCCCTAGAAGCACCCCCTCCAGCTGCTCTCCTCTTAACCTCCCCCAGTGATGTTAACTTCATGCCAGTGCATTCTTCTGCTATCGCCCTTATCATAGCCCCTTGTAATTATCATAATATACGTCCCATCTTCCTCACTGGACTGACTCCCAGGGGGCAGGGGCAACACTATCTCTCTTGAAAGTGTAACAGTTAGGAGCAGGGACTCTGGAGGAGATCGCCTGGGGCTCGAATCCCAGTTCCACGTAGGGGTTGCAGTGTGACCTTGAAAAGATGCCTAACCTCTCTAGACCTTGAGTGTTCTCATCTATAAAATGGGAAATAAAAATAGCCTCTACCTGCTGGCATTGTCTGAAAGAGAAGATGAATTAATATATGTAAATACCTGGCATATGCTAAGCCCTATAAATACTATTATATGATTACATTGTATCCGCAGGAAGGCAGTAAATTATTTCATGAACAATATACCGAGGCACTAAAAAGCTCTGGCCTTGTCTCTATACCACTCTGAGTTTTTGGTCTTTGTTCACTTTACTGTAATCTCATCACTTGAACCAGGTCATGTACTAATTTTTCCAAAAGATGTTGAAGTCATTTCTTGATGTCACCTGTCTCCGTTCTACCTCTCATCGTGTGATCAACTACAGGCCCTCTGAGCACAGCTGGCCCATTCCCTGCCACCTCCCTGTACCACCACAGCATCCTCAAACGCCCCACACATGGTGTGCACCACGGCACACCACTGATGAACAAGTGGCTGAGACACCTGAGTGGCCAAATGGAAGGTCTAGTTTTGCCTCCATTATGGGGACCATTGGCAGAGGGTGTCATTAAAAAATGAGAAGGCTTTGTAACCAAAGCAATTTTCTAAGCAACTGAAAAATGCAAGTAAGGACTCAAGTTTCCACAAAATTTCCATAATGAGCATTTACTATTAAATAACAACTCTGCAGAAAGGTAACACCTTTAAGATGTTACAGTACTTACGAACTCAAGGGGATTCAACCCAAAATAATGATTTAATCAAACGCAGCTCCAGTAGAGCTGTTGTAGTGATTCCATACTGCAACTACGAATCTTTTTTAATCAGTTCTAAATGTACAAGTTAAGGTCCCTCCTTCTAGAGGAGAATTTAAAGGAACTCCCGCGCTCCCCAGCCCCTATCATCATCTATCTCAGAACCAAACGAAACACAGCTGGATGACACTCCTGATCACCTTCACATGAGGCAACACAGGTACTGCAAAGGGCACAGGCGTTGGAGTTGAGCACCATGGGGCCACACGCAGGTGAGACAGGTGTCATAGAGCAGGTCTGCTCATCTCCCCCTCCCGCAGTAACGGCAATAATGTAATTTAGCGGGTGGTTATGGTTACCTAATACTGAAAGACTTGAAGAAAAATGAATACATGAAGAGCTAGCTTATAACAGATACTAGATAAATGGTAGTTTTATCATAGTATACCATTTTTGTCTTTTTAGAGTTGAAGTTTTAAAGAGAAGTTATTACCAAGGCTCTAACATATGTTAACTAATACTCTTAAAAGTAAAAGCGTGAAGTCAGTAGGAAATGGAAAGGAAAAAGCTGTGATCCCAGGGAGAAGACTCCCCGCCTGGAAGATACAAAAAAAAACTGGCTTCCTTGCATTTTGGGTACAAGCCTTGCCCTGCCCACACCCCTGACCCTGGGATACCCACAGGTGCACCCCTGGTGTCAGTGACACAGAGAGGACACGATTAGATGGTCCTGTTCACCACACATCCACTGTGGCCATACCTTTATGCTTAAATATGTGTGGCTCAGACTTACTTCAGAAGAAAATGTACATGGTGATCATGAAATCAATTACTTTACAACTAATGGCTCAAAGGTAGTCATTTCATAATGTTCTCCTGATTGCCAATGAAAATGAAACCCGAATACAAGATTGCTTGGCTAGCTCAGTGGATAACCAATAAAATTCTGCCCAGGGGTCCCAAAGCTCCCTGAGGGGAGGACTGTGTCTGTTCATCTGACATTCCCTAGAGACAGGCATATAGTGGCGATTTAAAATTCATTGAAGGATGTGTACACCCCCGTTCACAGCAGCATTACTCACAATAGCCAAAAGGTGGAAGTAACCCAGGTGTCCATCAACAGATAAATGGACAAACAAAAGGTGGTGTATACACACAATGGAGTATTACTCAGCCTTAAAAAGGAAGGAAATTCTGACATATGCTACAACACGGATGAACATCGAGGACATTATGCAAAGTGAAAAAAGCCAGTCACAATGACACACTGTAGAATTCCACTAACAGGAGGTACCTAGAGGAGTCAAGTTCACAGAGACAGAAAGTGGAATGGTGGTCGCCAGGGATGGGGAGGAGGGAAGGGAGTTAGTGTTTAACAGGTACAATTTTGCAAGATGAAAAGTTTTGGAGATGGATGCACAACAAAGTGGATGCACTTAAAGCTACAAAACTGTGCACCGAAAATGGTTAAAAACGGCAAACTTCATGCTGTGTGTATTTCACAGTTTAGAAACAAATTCATTGAAAGGATAAATGAAGGACTACTCAGAACTACTTTCATCACTCACTAAATGTTCTATTTCATACCTTATTCATTAGGGAATTCCTAGCTCCCTACCTTATAGATGGGAAAACAGGGACGTAGAGAGCTTAAGTGACCGGCTGTTAAACAGCGTGTTCTATCCGACTGGTCGGAAGCCCAGGAAGACAAGGGCTACGCCTCCAGTCTTCTTTCGAGGCCCAGAACCTGAACACACCCGCCACAGGCCCCTTCAATGTTCTGAGAATCCCACCGGCCTGAACATCTTTATCATAGAAGATGTCACTGTGTCCCTTTCTTAACAAAATCTCTAACTTAACAGATAAAATGGCCAGCCTTCAGAAGACTTCTGTCACTGGAGGTGCTCAAACACAGCTGGGCCATTAGCCACTCGCCACGGCATACTATGTACCAAGGGCTGGAGCACAGAAAGCTTCAGACCATTTCATCTGTAAGGGAGCTGAGTCCTCTGCAGTAAACAGAGAAGGTTCAGGAACAACTAAAATACCAAAAAACAAATGCTTAACAGATAGATGAGAGTACACAAATCTAAGGGAGTACTGAAGAGTGGCTTTGGGTCTGGGACATGCGAAAGATGGGCGGCAGCTTCTCAGCTGGATGTGGAAGGATGAATACTTTTCCAGGCACTGCCAGGGAAAAGGCCAGGGCATGCAGCAGAAAGAACCGCAGACTAGGTGTCAGGAGAATAGCACCATTCCTTGTTGCTATTATCTAGGTAAGTGACTTCTGCAAATCACAAACCCTGCTCCCCCACATATAAAGCTACAGCAAGACCCAGACCAGCTCTGTGTGGTGCATCCAACAGGGGCTCTGAAGTCACGCTGCCTGGGTCCAATGGTGCCACTGTGGCTTAAGGGTGACCTTGAGCTGGGTAATTAGTTGTTCTGTGCCTCAGTCTCCCCCCTTCCGAAGAGGGCTGTCGTGCTAATTAAACAGTACACGTTAATCATTGAATGCACGGCCTGGCACATATTAAGCCCTCCAAAAATGACAGCTCCTGTAACGACGAGCCACACTGTCTGAGAGGCAAACACCAGATGCAAGGGTTTGTGCCTGCTACCCTCCCAGGTCCCTCCCAATCCTGAGACATCCCTGAGGGGGATGGGAGCGCACAGCCGGGGCAGCAAACCCTGAACGCATGTGTCACTGCCCTGCCCGGGACGCGCCTCTCGCCGCCCCAGGGAGAAGCGATGGCTCAGCAGTCCCGGGACCCGCTCCCACCTCTCAGGCCCGGCACCCAGGGAGGGAAAGGGGTCGGACCCCACTTACCATGCTGGCAGGGGAAGGGGACGGCTCAGGTGAGCTGGCTCTCGGGCTTCGGACACGTCCCGCTCGCACAGTTCAGGTCATGGTCCCGGCAGGCTCGGGAAGTCCCCCGCCCATGCAAAGAGAACCGCTTCCCTACCCGGGCCCCCGCCGGGACCCTCTAAAAAGAGTGTGGTCCCCCGGCCCGCCTCATCGGGGACCCCCGGAACAATTCATCAAGACCCACCCGCCCCTCCCCAAGGAAACTGAAAAAAAGCAGGAAATGGGGCTCGGAAGCCGGCAGGGAGGGCAGCGGCTCGGGGCCCCCTGCCCGGGCCCGACCCCCGAGGGGAAGCTCCGGGCCCAGGCAGGGTCTCCCCGGCCTCCGCGTTCAGAGGCAGCCGCGCGGGCCCGGCCCCGAAGCAAAAGGGCCGGAGGCTGAAGGGGGCCTCGGAGGCGCAGCCCGAGCGGCCGGCTTAGGGGAGAGGCCCGGGGGCCCGCGCTGTCCTCGCCGCCTCAGTCCACACGGCCGCCGCCGTCACCCCCTGGAGCATCCCTACGCGCGTCCGTCCCGGAGCCGCCTGCTCGCGCCGCGCGGCCACCCCCGACCAACAGCCCCAACGCGCCGGAAGTGGCGAGCGCCCGGCGTAGCCCCACGGCACGGCCGCCGATCTGCGGCGCTGGAACCGGACCAATCCGGAATCGAGCGGGGGGCGGGGGCACGCAGGGCGGGGCCGCACCTGACGGCTGCCGCTAGCCCTGCCCCTTCCTGACCCCGCCCCGCGCCCGGCGACAGTCCACGCGGGCCGGCAGCCATGTTGGTAAAGGACGCCGGGGCTGCCATCTTAGTAAGGGTGCTCTTCCTGTTTCGCTTCATTGGCTCGTTCATTCCGCACCTCTTTAGGGAGCGCCTTTTACGTGCCCAGCACCCGGCTGAAAGTCAGCAGCACGCAGCCTCTGCCTTCCTGCAGTTGACATCCATTCAGTGCATGCACGTTTTAGCCCTGCTATGGCCCAGGCGCTGCCACAGGTGCAGGAGGGCAGCAAACGAGACTGCTGTAGCCCCTGCCCTGGAGGAAGTAGATGAGCAACAAGAGCAAATGAATAAATTAATTGTAAGAAATGAGGAGTTGGGCCAGCCGAGTGACTCGGTTAAGAGCTCTCATGGGAGCACCAGCTCTGAGCAGCAGGTTGGTGGTTAAGATCCCACATTAAGGGCCAGTGACCCTGCGCCCTCTACAGCTAAGATGATGAACAACCGCTGGACCTGGAGTGGGGCTGCTGTGAGCTACATGAGTGGATGGCAGCCAGCATGAGCGCCGGCAGCCAGCGAGAGCTACCATGAGCCACTGTGAGCGGCCGACCAATGACCGGCAACCGATTGCCTCACCCGAGAAGAGTGCAATGATCATACCAACATGGGCCAGTGAAGCGATGTCCTCCACAACTAGACTGAAGAACAAAACAGCAATTTGTCTACCTGTCTGTTTTCCTTCCCCGATTCCCCAATGCTATTCCCCTCCAAGTCCCCAATAAAAATCTTTAAAAAAAAGAAATGAGAGTGCTGTGTGATGAACGCAACCCACACGCAGAGTGCTGAGAAAATGGAAAGAAGGGATAGGAAATGTAACCTGGGACATGAAGGATGCAGTACTGGGAAACATGATCAAAGCGGAAGGGACAACTGCAAAGATTCTGCAGGGTTCTGAGACTGCAAAGAATGTGGAGAGTCCCAGTGCCTGTCCTCCAACCCACTTTACTTGTGAAAGTGTAGATTTTAAGAAACACAAGCAGGAAACAATCCCTAGCAGCCCAAGTGCTACTAGGGTGTGCCTGCTGCAGAGATGAGCAAATCTGTCTAACCCAGTGACTTTCAAACTCCAGCGTGGATCAGAATCACCTGGCAGGCCTGTTGAAATTACATTGCCATCTGAGCCCCACTCCCAGAATTTCTAATTCAGTAGACGTGGGGTGGGGCCTAATTTACACTCCTAACAAGTTTCCAGATAACGCTAAAACTGCAGGTCAAGCGACCACACTTGGAGAACCACTGATGTAACTCATGACCACAGAAAGCTTTCACTTACTCTTTCATCAAATATTTATTGTTGTCCATTAAGTGACAACCACTGTTCTGAGTATTCGGTGCTGGGCAAAATAGACACACTTGTGCCCTTGCAGAATCGAGAGACATTATTTGTATTGTACAAAAAGGAATCAGTTATCATTGTGATGAAAGCATGAAAGGAAAACAAATCACCATGAGAGTCAATAGCCAAGGGACCTCAGCTAATCTCCAGGGTTGGGGTGGGGAGATGGTCAGAAAGTGACATTTATTTAAGCTGTGGCCTGAAAGAAATGTTGTTGTTTGCTAGACAAAGAAAGAAGGCAGAGAATATTCAAGGCACTAGAAACTGCAAGGACAAGAGAAGTTATCTCAGTAGGTAAGCAGATAACTCATGACTGAGGCCACCCACTTGTCCTTTCTTGGCTCGGTTTAGTGCGAGGAGCAAATGCTTTTGGATAAGAATTAGGGGTGGAATTCCAGCTCTTAGTGTTAGCTGAGGTCTGTTGAGCACATTATTATCAAAGCCTTGCTTTCCTCACTGTATAATTGGATGAAATAACAGAAGTTCAACTCAGGCTGAATTAGAGGTGTGTCTTTGGCTCACATAACCCTCATAGCTGGACATCCAGCAATAGGTCAGCTTCAGGCTGGAAGTGAGGGGAGCCCTGGATCCCTTCCTCTATGACTTTCTTGGCTCTGCTCTCCTCCATGTTTTCAAGATGACTGCCAGGAACAGCCAGGGGCATAAACTTCCCCATTCACATCCAGCAAGAGACAGTACCTTGTCTCACATCTTTTCTTAAGGCAGTAAGCTTTATCCTACTGGTCCTGCCCATCCCTGAACTAGCCACTGTGGAGGAGGATGGAATTGCTATGATTGGCATAGAGAATCGGCCCCTGGAGTTGATTTCAACTCCCCAGAATAAAGTAGGTTTGGTGGAGTCAACCCATGTCCGTTGCCAGGCTGGAGTGAAGATTAAATTGAATGTACACAAAACACCTGGCACATAAGGCATACAATAAATCACAGCTATTATTAATTTTACTCCAGGGATTTTGTCCAAGTCAACCAAATAACATTTTGTTATTAATATTAATCTCGAGCCTGTCTATTAAAAAAAAAAGATGTAAGGCTGCTATTACATTTTGTTGGCACTGCAAAGATGTCCCCCATCCATCTCCTCCTGCCCACTCCTACTGCTACCGCCTCGGTCTCATTCATTCAGGTATTCGCTCAACAAACTGTCAATGAGTTCGTATCAATTTGGTGCCAGGACTTTTGCAAAAATTAAAGAGTTCCAAATGAGTAAGATTCAGGCAAATTGTGGACTGTCTCATGGTAGATATAGCCACCTAAACAATGACAGCACAGTGTGAAAGGTGCTAAAATTAAGGTGTGTGCAAACCTAAGCACACACGTGAGGAGGGAGCAATGAAATATGAGGAGAAAGTAGTTGGAAAACTGAACAAAGATGGTGATATTTCAACTGGGTCTTGATGGAAGAATTTAAGTTCACCTGATTGCTGCAGAATCCATGCTCCTTTTCCCACTCCAAGCTGTCGTCCATTGTGTCAAGTCTCTTTCTACTGCACGTGACAACGTTGAGACTCTACAGTTGGGACTCTAATGAGGAAAAAAGGGACTGTTGTGTTGTCAGAAAAGTCACGACGCATTTTTGCGTAGAAAACATAGAAAAAATACGTCATGACTTTTCCAACGACCCAATATATTGTCTCATGTAAGAGAATCATCCAGAGGGTTGTATGGAGTTCAAACATGGCTGGGTGAGTTCAAACAGAACTCAGTTTCTCTCCATTTCTTGGTTCTGCTTCCGTGATTGGGGTGGTCCTTTATCCACACAGGTGGCTCCTGGCATAATCCAAGCTTTATTTTCTCTCAGGATGAATCCTGGTAGAAAAGAAGAGATCATGCCTCTCCTATAAATATTCCAGAAAGGGCCAGCCGAGTGGCTCGTTGGTTAAGAGTTGGTTTGGGAGTGCGAGCTCTGAGCAGCAGGGCGCTCAGAAAACATAGAAAAAATATGTGATGACTTTTTCGACAACCCAATAGAATTGCTGGGTCAAAGGGTGTATACTTTTGTGTTTCTGATGGATTGTGCCAAATCACCCTCCATAGGAGTTGTGAATTCCTACCATCTACAGAGCATCTATTTCCACATACACTGGCCAATAGGATAGATCGTCAAACTTCTGGATTTTTGTCAATCTGAGAGGTGAAAAATAGCACCTCGGTGTCATCACAACTTTTTGGGAACTGTCTGTTCATGTACTTTTCCCCTCTTCGCTATTGAGTCATTGGGTTCTTTTGCCTAAAAAAGCGTGGAGGAGAGGTGGTCCTTCATAACAAAGTTGGGGTTATCAGAAGAAGGGATAAGGAAAAAAATTGTTCTAGGAGTTCTTTATATAATATGGGGATTAACTTTTTGTGATACTGACTTGCAAATATTTTCCCCAGATTGTTGTTTGTCTTTTGACTTTGCTTATGGTTTTACTTTTCCATGAAGAAGTTTTTAATTTATTTTTTAGAGTTGAATGGATCAATCTTTTATGGTTTCTGGATTTTGAGTCATACTTAGTAAGGATGCTCCTATATCAATGTTTAAAGGGATTTGCTTATGCTTTCTTAAAGTCCTTTTAAAAAAAAACAGGTAAATATTTTATCTACTTGGAGTTTATTTTGGTGTACAGTATGAGGGATAAATCCAAGCTGTTGTTTGAGACAGGAGACACCCAAAGCAGGCACACACTAAGGTGACTTTGTTCCCAGAAAGAGACCAGGCCACGAGTAAGGATCTGGTACATGGAACAAAAAAAGTGTCCAGAACTGGCCAAGTTTAGACTCCAGGACAGCTGGAAGTAACACCATGTCACAAGAGGGCGATGGCAAGAACCGGGATTAGGTAGCAAGCCCAAGGTCTCAGCCAGCAGAGGGACAAGGAGATCAGGACAAGGGCCTAGAAAACTGCGTTCACACTCCAGACAAATGCCTGACCTCTGGGAAACCTTGTGACTCCAAGCCTCTGAAGCCTCACGGTTGTCATTCCCCAAAACCCACTAACAGGAACACGGTTGGGAGAGAGTCCTTTCACTCAACAAATTCTTATTAGGGAGGCACATGACCCACCACCAATCCTAATAAAGACCAAAAGCAGAATAAAGGTCAAGGAACACTGAGCAATAAATTCTGACCAGGAGGGCTTCATGGAGGAGGTGATGGCATTTGAGCTGAACGTTCAAGAATTGGTGAACTCTTACCAGATGGAGATTTTTTTTTATTGCAGTAGTATTAATGGTGTAGATCATCTTTATCCTGTTGACTTCTCTTTCAAAAATAAGTCTGCTGGGGCAGCTGGTTAGCTCAGTTGGTTAGAGCACAGTGCTCATGACACCAAGGTTGCCGGTTCGATTCCCACATGGGCCACTGAGTTGCGCCCTCCACAACTACTTGACTTGGAGCTGATAGGTCTTGGAAAAACACACTGTTCCCCAATGAAATTAAAAAATAATAAGAAGAATAAGTCTGCCCTCCCATGAGTTCAGCCTTCTTTTGAATCACTCTGCAGTGTTTTAAATTTTCCTTCATAAAGGTTTTATGC